TTTCGGAGCCCGAGTGCTCGGCCGAGTACTCCGCCGACTACTCGGTGAGCCTGCCGTCGGACCCCGAGCACGGCGTGGGTCGGACCCACGAGGTGACGGTGCGCAGCTCGGGACCCTGCCTCTGCCTACCCCGCTTCATGCGCCTCACCTTCGCTCCCGAGTCCCTGGAGAACCTCTACCAGACTTACTTCCGACGCCAACGCCACGAGACCCTCCTGGTGCTGGTGGTCTTCGCCGCCCTCTTCGACTGCTACGTCCTCGTCATGTGCGCCGTGGTCTACGCCGCTGACAAGCTGGCCCCGGTGCTGGCGGCGGCGGCCGGGCTGGTCGCCCACGTGCTGCTCTTCATCCTCTGCAAGTACAAGCTGCTCCCCGAGCGGGTGGCCCGCAGGTTCCTGCCCTACGTCCTCTGGGTCCTCATCTTGGCCCAGATCTTCTGCTACCTGGGTCTCAACTTCTCCCGCTCGCCCGAGGCCAGCGACACGGTGGGCTGGCAGGCTTTCTTCGTCTTCTCCTTCTTCATCACGTTGCCACTGCGCTTGGCGCCCATCGTGCTCATCACCGCCGTCTCCTGCGGCATTCACACGCTGGTGCTCGGTGTCACCGTTGCCCAGCAGCGGCAGGACGCCCTGGACGAGGGCGCGCTTCTGAGACAGGTACGGGGCCGGCGGGGGGGATGGGGGAGTCCCCTGGGGTGGTGGTGGGTTGACAGGCAAATCATCCATATTCGGTGTTTCCGTGAGTGGGGTCCATCCCTGTCCCTATGCCCTGACCCTAAAGCCGGGTTTGATCCGGACCCTGCGAGCTGAGGGTGGTGTTTGCTGGGAGCAGGGGGATCCCCAAAACATATCCAGGGATCAACCCATGTGGGGAGTGGGGTGCTGGGGAGTGCAGGAGCACCCGCCCATGCTGGGACACATGGCCACAGACCCGGCCCCGCAAGCACGGATCTGGCCCCAGGACCCACCTGGGGTGTGTGGACACATGGGCTGCGGTTGGGCTGCTGGGGAAACTGAGGCACGGTGGACTGTGGGCTCCCCCGTCCACCCTGCCCGGTGGGCTTGCTTGCGCCGATTTCCCTTTCAATTGCAAAAATGGCTAAAAATGGCCATTTTTAGCAGAAACGTGGCAGGAGCCCAGCTTCCTGGCTCGCAAACAGCCACTGGAGCTTCCCCAGGGGGAAGGAGCCGGGCGGCTGCTTGGCCCCAGGGTGGTCCCTGGGCAATGCCCATCACCCAGCCCCGCGCCTGGGGCAGAGCCGGGGATGCTTTGGGGTGATTTTCTGCACCAGCAAAGCTGGAGAAACTGTGTCCCCAAGCCCAACGTGGCCCCAGGGACAGGCCACCCTTCACACACGCAGCAAAGGAGGGGACGCGGTGGGCAGGCGGGGGGGGAGCGGTTGTGGCCCATCGGGCTCTTAATGTTTCCTGGGAAATACCCGCCTGGAGCAGCTAGAGACTGTTTTTATTCCCTAAATCAGCGTTTTTTCATGGCATGGCTGAGTCCCTTTCCTCCCACTGATGTCCCCACCGGTTGGCCATGCACCCGTCGGTTTGGGAAGCCCTTCCATGGCCGGGGTGGGATGTGGGGGTG